TCCAAACTTTATATGCAAAACCAGTCATATCTTCTTTTGATTGCGACCCAACTGGTTTTGATCCCCAGAAATAAGGACAAGATAGAAATAAACCCAAGATTTTCACATCCCCAGGCAAAGGTTCCACCCCAGCCCGGAGAACAATATTATGTGCTATATTGGCACCTGCACTATCCCCGCCGATATACAATTTACCAAAATCTCCATGTTTAGTAACCCACGGATCCTTTTCGATACTAGCATTTGCAATAACGTGAGACGCCACCCATTGAAGGGCAGTCCATGAATCTTCATAGGCTATAGGTAGAAGGTGTTCAGGGGCGAGCCTGTATTGGACAGAAATGATTAGAGCTTTTGCTTCTGCGGCTAAAATGTGAGTTAAACGGTTGAAGAACAAACAATAGGGGGACTCAATTACAAATCCACCACCATGGTAGTAGATTAAAACGGGGAGTTTTTGGTTAGGATCTGTGAGTTTGGGGAGGTATAGTCTGGCTCTAACCTCCGTTGAAATGACTATGTCTTTGGAGGCTACACCGGTGGCTGGGTCTTCCGGCGACGGCGGGACATTGGGTGTGCCCATGAGCCTCTCCACTGTTCCATCTTTGTAGACTTTGATAATGGGAGAGAGGTCGATGAGCACTTCTTTGGTGGTGTTGGAAGCCATGACAGTGTTCATGATTTTTGTAGGTTGTAAACGAGAAAATGGCAGATGGTTCTCTAGTGATAGATGATATTGGACAAGTTAGAGGTTGGCTATCAATTCACTATTTAACTAAGACAAAGATGCAAAACTTGAAAACGACCAAATGATTTTTTGTTTATTTTTTATTTTTAACAACTTGAGCGGTTGGATGGAATATTGTTCTTTTAATTGCTTTTCGAAAGTTAAAATAGCCGAATACCCAAATGTGAAATTAAAACAATAACAAGCAACAAATCACTTATTAATGTCTTAGATGCTTAAATTTTATTAATTCAATTAAACACATGTGTCGATCAATCAATTTAAGCAATCAAATCAAAAGCAATAAAAAATAAAATAAAGAACACTGTGAATTGATGATGGAGGAAAATCCCTTTCGTATGATCAAAAATCTCCGGGCAAACTTGCAAGTGAACGATTCATTAGAAATGTTAACTTTTTTAATCATGTTTATGACGATTTGATTAGCCGACTCTATCCACCTAACTTGTAAATTACCAAGAAACTCAATTGGTTGTACAGGCCTGCACTTCCTAGAACTTTGGATCACTTTTTCTCTCCGTTGGATTACTAAGAATGAACCTCGTTCTGCAATGCTGGAAGTCTAAATGCCTCTTCCCAAACTTCATAACTCTAAAGACTTATTGGAGAAGGTAGGAGTTTTTGTATTGGGGTTTGATCAAAGATTTTTTTTTTTGTGCTTTGATATGTTGATTGAGGCAAGAGATACTGAAATATGGATTTGTTCTTCAAATGTTATTCTTTTGACTAAATAAAGGGGTCAACCAATATTGGAATAATGTTTTGGATGAATATATGAACAATGGACGGTATGGTTGAATCAAGAGATCAATGAAATGTGTTTTGAATCTTGAATAATGTGATCTCTATAATGAAATAGTAACTCAACATACTTGGAGACGTTGTATGACTTGTATATTTATAATATGTAGTGTTTGAGTTGAAATACAATTGAAAATCAGTATTAGAATCGAATTTGAATTGTTCACATGTACATATGCCACTCGAGCTTTACGCCTCATGCCTAGCAAGCAATCAGGCCACCGCCTGTGTTGCTGTTAATACTATGTTGGTGTAACTTAAACTAAGTGTATAGCATGTGTCCCGCAAGTAATATGCTGAAAATAATTAAATAATAATATATAAATTGTAGTCAACTATGTGCACTAATAATGATGCAACAATAAATTACTAGCATAAAACCAATCCCCCAATTGCAGGTTAAATAGGAAGAAAAGTCAAAAGTAAACTCATTTTAGAATAAATAATTTATTCTCAACTCTAAAGAAAAAGCAAAGATAAAAGATATTCGTATTTACTTATATGAATGAAGATACGCATAAAAAACTAATCTTGCACAACTAAATGATACTGTAAACTTGGCCACAACATGTTCAACAAAAACTAAACCACAAGCTGAAATATGCATACTTATTCCAAAAGTTGAAAAAATCTCATCATGAAATAAAAGAAGTCAATTGTTTAATCAAATCCTTTGCTTTCTCAGTGTGAGGATCATTTACATGAAAGCAATGATCTTCTGCATCATCCACCACCAGCTGCACTCAGTGGGGGACTCATCACAAAAGTTCATCCCAAGCGGACGTTAACCGGTGATCGTAAGAACGAGATCTTTTATTAATATCATTTGGCTTTTGCCTATGTTGGGCTCAATTGGCTGTAAGCCTTTTAACTTTTTTTTTTTTTGTTCTTTGTAATTGGGCCTTTAGCGCCCAAAACTTCTCTTTAATTCTACTTTTTTTTTATATTAATTTTTATTTATGAGGTATGACTGTTCTTAAGGACTGAAATCATGATTTATGTTGTATGAATCATGAATTAATTTGACGAATTGACATTAAAAATTTGAAATGAGAATTGTGATTCCACTTATTCGTGAATTTCTGATTTGGAGTAAATAATTTATGTTGTACTATTGTTTGAATTATTAATTTTAATTTATCATTAATGAGTCATTGAGTTATGATTTGAGAATTGCGATTCAACAACGTGTACTCTACTTTTTTAATCAATTGCAATTGAAAAATAAACAATNAAATCATAACTCAATGACTCATTAATGATAAATTAAAATTAATAATTCAAACAATAGTACAACATAAATTATTTACTCCAAATCAGAAATTCACGAATAAGTGGAATCACAATTCTCATTTCAAATTTTTAATGTCAATTCGTCAAATTAATTCATGATTCATACAACATAAATCATGATTTCAGTCCTTAAGAACAGTCATACCTCATAAATAAAAATTAATATAAAAAAAAAGTAGAATTAAAGAGAAGTTTTGGGCGCTAAAGGCCCAATTACAAAGAACAAAAAAAAAAAAAAAAGTTAAAAGGCTTACAGCCAATTGAGCCCAACATAGGCAAAAGCCAAATGACAAAAACAAAAACAAAAAAAAGGAGGAAAGAAGATTGCCAATGATATGAATCGAACACGAATCATCTTACTAGGGAAGTAAGCACTCAACCAACTGAACTACCTAAATTATCTTGTAATAATTATGTGCTACCATTTATATATATTGAATATAAAATCTTCCTTTAATCTTTTTTCTCAACGGATTCAGCACGGGTGGCCGTCCCGGCTCACCGGATGCTGGATCCGCCCCTGGCTGCACTACACCATTCGACCCACTTTTCTTTACAGTCTCAATATAAAGAATCCCTATAGGCATAAATGCATCATTCTCCGCTAAGCAAACCTGCAACCTTGGACACACCAGCCTCGATAAGCTCCGAGCATCCCCCGTAAATGGATTGATCATTTCCAACCACACATTCACACAATAAACCATTCTACACGTATATCGAAAAAAATTTCTTACTTTTTAACCACATATTCTCCTAAAAATACTTTTCAAAACTCATTTTTTCCCACTTAATGAGAATCAAACAAGCTCCCAATCAGTAGAACTGGTATGGATGAATTCTAATTTGAAATTCGAATATTACAAAAATAATTTTTAGAAAATTTAAAAACATCATTAAAAGTTCCACCCTTTGATGGAGGAAGGAAGACTTATCACAAAAAGAGAGTAGGTTCCTTAGAGACACAATGAATACTAAACTTTTGAATCATCCTTCCCCAAGACCTTAGGTCGGAAGAGAGTTTGGAAAACAAGGAGTAGAGTGTCCTCACCTAGGGAGGTCTCTTTCCACAGAAAATAAGTCCCCACTAGCTGGGCCCATGCATTGGGGATGAGTTGGGTAGGTGCCAGCTCGTACAACTTTAGAACGACCTTAAAGAATGGATGAAGGGGCAGACGAAATCCCCACTTCAGAAGGTATTCGCTAATTACCACACATCCCAGCCTAGGAAAGTAAGCTCTCTCCTCAAGCAAAGGGGCAAGGAATCCGATTGTGTGAGTGATACAAGATTTCTCTCTAATTTTTACGAGGTCGACACCAGTAACATTGAAGGAATCTTAGTAGCCCCCCAACCAGCATCATAACCTAAATGACCTTCTCTATTGTTTAGCATGCTTTGGCCTGCCCTAATGGCTTGAACCAAGTCGTTTGTGTTCATTATGGTCACTCCCATTTTCAGATGCCACCGCACTCAAGTCTAGGTTTTCCCCCACCAAAGTTTGAAGAACTTTTGATCTCAAGAAAAACAGGAAGAAATGAAGAAGCGAAGATGATGAATACTCACAAAGTTAATGAATGAATGAATGTGAAAGATCACCGGCTGGAGAAAATGTCTCAAGAACTTTTAGATGCAAATGAAGGAGTGTGGAAAATTGTGTTTTGCAAAGTAAAGAATGAAGGGGTAAATGATTTAGCTTTTATAGGCATAGGTCATCAGCCACAACCATTAGAACTGAAGCCTAACCATCCAACCTTTCCTTTAAGGGTTAATCCAAGTCATTCATAGCATCTGCCTCTTCATATGCAACCGTTTAGATCACAACGTTTTAGCTACGAGCGCTAAAGTGTCTGCCCCCTATAAAATAGACTTGTAGCTGTCATCATTATGCATTAAATATGGTGATTGTTGCCTGTATGAAAAGTTGAAACGTTGTAGCTGTTCTTTCTCGAAAAAGTACAAGTCAGCTAATAATTTGGATGCAATAATTAACGGTTCCTCGTCTTTTCAACATTTCAAACACCATACCTCTTCAGATTTATGAGTTGCAGTCTCAACAAGTAGCACAAGCAAATCACTTCAGTCTTGACTACTAAAACTTCAGTAAGGTTTCAGATGCGTAGAGCCACTTTGGAGTGAACAGTCTCTAATGAAAATTGCCCAACTAACACTCCCCAACTTCTTCCATAAAATTAGAAGTTTCAAAGTACACAACTTCTTACAACAACCTCTATATAAGTAATTCATGTAAGTAAACTACCTTTAAATTCTATTTATAATATGAATATTTACATTTAGACTTTGGGAACTATTGTGGTATGGTAAAATTCACTCAAACAAAACAAATTTTTTATAACGAAAGTCCATACATTTTATGAATAATCATGCCTACACTTGGGAGCCTATAATTAAGTCTCGCCACTGAGGCTCCTGTCAGAAGACCATGTCGTAGTTCACGTGGAGATGTAAGTCAAATCTGGCCAAATCAACGTAGACTCAATTGGTCAAAATAAAGAAGTTAAAGAAAAGCTAATGTTTCGAAGCCCTCCCCTGATCGAAGTCCTCAAAGAAAAAGTGGCATCAGTCTTATCCGAAGCTCTATATAAGTGGCTGAAGCTCTAAAGCTGAAGCACTATATAAGAAGCCGCCGAAGCTCTCTACCCTGCAGCTCTTCACATCAACGGACATCCAATATGAAACTCCATTTGGCCAAAGCCATTGTTGTCTTTTAGAGGATTTGCAGGTAATATTTAGGAGTGATTGATGTAACATTTATAGTAATGAATGTCAGGATTGTCAGCTTAATGTATATGATGATTAAGTCGTTATCAATGTATTAATTTAATTGCATAGAAGAAGGAGTGATGTGAGACTTCAGCCTAGGAGATGAGGCCACATGGTTCTAATTCAATGGCTACCACGTCGGCCAGAACTCTATCAATAAGCAACTCTTGTAACATTTGTAAAAGGACAATCCTTTACACTCGAAACCACGCTCAATTTTCTATATTGCTTATTCCATATTTATTTGTTTGAGTTTAAATTATTTCTATTTTGGTGGAGTAGTTCATAATTATTTTTTTAATATGCAATTATCTTTGATCATACTGCCGATGCTCGAATATTTTTGTTTCGTATCATAGAACATCTTCCACGTCCATAAACACCAACCTTTTCCACCCTAATCTCTGATCAAAACGTGTTGGAATTTGCTTGTATGGATGCGAGTGGGCCCAACATCTGTTGTCCACATAACCATTACTAAAAAAGAGGATGAACAAAAAAAGTTTTTTTTTTGTCATTTCTTTCGATGTAAGTAGTGGTGGATATTTTAATTTGAATCAATCCCTTTGAACTGAAATTAGGAGTTTCGATTTTGATTCCAAAAATTACATGGAAAGAATGGTTTCATTTACAAAATGATCGAAATTTGAATGGAAGATTTCAATTCTTTAAATACTTAGAACGAACCACCCAACGACCATTGCTAAGTTTGAGTTACATATGGGAACAACAATGTCCTTGCAAGTTTAAGATTTTTCTTACATAGGCTTTTCTATTTAAAAACATTGTAGCTAGTTGTTTTGGACCGATTGTTTTTCAATTAACAAAATGATTGAAACATTGCTCAACTATTGATTTTTTTTTATATGCATGGAAATCAACGAATCGTGATCGTATGTTATTGTTCTTGCTTG